AAAACCCAAAATTCACCCAAAAAATCCCCAAATTCACCCCAAAAAAAACCCCAAAAATCACCTAAAAAATCCCGATATTTCTCCCAAAAAACCCCCAAAATCACCCCAAAAACCCCCAAATTCACCCCAAAAAAAACCCCTAAAATTCACCTAAAAAATCCCCCAAAATTCACCCCCAAAAAAACCCAAAATTCACCCAAAAAATCCCCAAATTCACCCCAAAAAAAACCCCAAAAATCACCTAAAAAATCCCGATATTTCTCCCAAAAAACCCCCAAAATCACCCCAAAAACCCCCAAATTCACCCCAAAAAAAACCCCTAAAATTCACCTAAAAAATCCCCCAAAATTCACCCCCAAAAAAACCCAAAATTCACCCAAAAAATCCCCAAATTCACCCCAAAAAAAACCCCAAAAATCACCTAAAAAATCCCGATATTTCTCCCAAAAAACCCCCAAAATCACCCCAAAAACCCCCAAATTCACCCCAAAAAAAACCCCTAAAATTCACCTAAAAAATCCCCCAAAATTCACCCCCAAAAAAACCCAAAATTCACCCAAAAAATCCCCAAATTCACCCCAAAAAAAACCCCAAAAATCACCTAAAAAATCCCGATATTTCTCCCAAAAAACCCCCAAAATCACCCCAAAAACCCCCAAATTCACCCCAAAAAAAACCCCTAAAATTCACCTAAAAAATCCCCCAAAATTCACCCCCAAAAAAACCCAAAATTCACCCAAAAAATCCCCAAATTCACCCCAAAAAAACCCCCAAAAATCACCTAAAAAATCCCCTGATATTTCTCCCAAAAAAACCCCAAAATTCACCCAAAAAACCCAAATTCACCCCCCAAAAAAACCCCCCAAAATCACCTAAAAAATCCCCCAAAATTCCTCCCAAAAAAACCCCAAATTCACCTAAAAAAACTCCCCGAAATTCACCCCAAAAAAAACCCCTAAAATTCACCTAAAAAATCTCCCAAAATTCCTCCCAAAAAAACCCCAAATTCACCCAAAAAATCCCCGAATTCATCCCAAAAAAAACCCAAAATTCATCTAAAAAACCCCCAAAATTTCTCCCAAAAAACCCCCAAAATCACCCCAAAAAAACTCCTAAAATTCACCTTAAAAATCCCCCAAAATTCACCCCCAAAAAAACCCAAAATTCACCCAAAAAATCCCCAAATTCACCCCAAAAAACCCCCCAAAATTCACCTAAAACACCCCCAAATTCACCCCAAAACACCCCAAATTCACCCAAAAAAACCCAAATTCACCCCAAAAAAACCCCCAAATTCACCCCAAAACACCCCAAATTCACCCAGAAAAACCCAAATTCACCCCAAAAAAACCCCCCAAATTCACCCCAAAAAACCCCAAAATTAACCCAAAAAATCCCTAAAATTCACCCCAAAATCCCCAGAATTCACCCGAAAATTCCCCCAAATTTCCCCAAAAATTCCAAAAATTTCCCAAATTTCCTGCAGGAGGAGCCCCCACGGAGCCCATCCTTCATCACCTTCATCACCTTCATCATCATCATCATCATCATCTTCATCATCATCATCATCATCATCATCTTCATCATCATCGGCACGGGCACGACCCCTCCCCAAAATCCCCCAAAATCCCCCAAATCCCCCAAAATTCCTCAAATCCCCCAAAATTCCCCAAAATCCCCAAAATCCCCAAAATCCCCCAAAATCCCCCAAAATCCCCCAAATCCTCCAAAATCCCCAAATCCCCCAAAATCCCCAAAATCCCCCAAAATCCCCCAAATCCCCCAAAATCCCC